AGTGTCACGAATCGCATCTAACGGATCCGTTGAATCCAATCATTCGAAACACAGCGAGCGTCTGTTATCGAATCTATTGTTACACACGCAAAAACGAACGTTTTTCCGCGTCCTTCAGCGCCCGCCAAACTCGAGCGCTCGCCGCCGGCCACTTCGTACGACCACGCATCTAGCGACACATAGTAAAAACCCCCCGAAACGTCCGCCGTCGAGGGCGGCGACGCGGTGTAAAGCGTAGTTTCTAAAAGGCGGTATATTTAGTGTAAAAGAACGGAAGCGAGAGAGTGAGAAAAAAACGAATACGGGGAAAACCGGAAAGGGAAAAAATGTGTGTTTTGTTTCTTTAAGCTTTCGCAGGAAGTCTGTCTCGAAGTATTAAAGCTCTCAGGCTGCGCCGATTGTCTTCGCCCGCGTGCATACACACGTTACACACACCAGGCGCACAGTCGCGCGGAGTCGTCGGATCCAACGATGGTGTTCAACGATATCCGAGGAAAGAAAAAATAAACCGAGACCACGACACTCCCCAAATAGCACACGACGTCTTAAAGACGCCAATTTCACGGCTATTTTAAGTCTAAGGCGCCTTAAAGCAGTTTTCAAGTCGTCATTGGGCGTCATGTGCTATCTGGGTCGTAACTGATTACGTTTCGATCGAATCATCACATCCGATAACAGACACTTGTTTTCTATCGTTTCGAACAGTAGAATTTTCGATTCCAAACATTCACATACTTACACACGGCCTGTAACTAAACGAAATGTAATATTGTACTAGTCGATCGGTTTATTTACCAGTAGAGCGTGCCTTAATATCGACGATCCGTGCTAGGGATCAGTTCTGTTTCGTGATTTCCTTTCAGTCTGGACGAATGTCAATCATTTACCACCAATGTTCCATCGCCTCGCGTTCCGGCGATCTCCTTGAACACCATCTCTATATATACATATATATATGAATATAAATATGAATATATACATATATATGTATCTATACATATATATACATACATGCATATACATATACAAACATTATGTAATTGACGGAACAGAGAGAGGGGAAAACAAAAGAAACCGTAAATATCCACACACACACACACACTGGTCGAAGCGTGCGACGAATTATTTCAGAGGCCGACCAGAGTACAAAGCGTAGGTTTAGTTTGGTCTCGGAAATAGTTTGCGCACGCAATTTATCCCGGGGATCGTTGTCGTCGTCGTTGAACGTTATTAGGGGAAAATGATCGAAATTCAAGCGTTAACGAAGCAAGAGAAAATTTTTTTTGGGGGGGGGGGGAGTACACTAAATTGATATGATGAACACACAAAAAAAAAACGTGAAAAAATTGTAAAATACTGGGGATGAAACGCCGCCTAGGTTTACGGCGTTGCCGTCGACCGAGGGCCCCGAGTCCCATCGAGTTTGGCTTCTTTTGTATCCGACAATAAAACGTGACGGAAAACGGCGCGAGAACGAAGGGACGAGACACAGAGGGAGCCACCCACCACGTCGTCCAGGTGTTGTGTCGTCGTGGGATCTAGCTCTTTGCCGCGAATCAATTAACCAGAGACAAATCAAAAGTACTTAGGCTTAAAAACGTGTCATCCCGAATCAGTACCCCCAACTTATGTCGGTTCGGCCGCTGAACAGCGTGATATACAATCGATGTGTACCAAGGCTCGTCTCCTCGGTCCACGCCAACGTCTCTCGCAGCTGTTTTTACGAATGGGACACTGGGATAGGCCGCCATTTTGAAGGAGGACGTTATTTCGGTAAAGCCTGATGTACAGTTGGATGTAATGTAACGGAAGAATGTTTAGAAATAATTGGTACCTTATGAAAGACTCGTTCTACTCACCTTGAGAGGGAAAAAGAATGTGTGACTCTGAACTGACGAGTTTTATCTGGGTACACATTCGCTGCGCTGTTTGTAGATTGCAGGAGATGTGTCTTCAATCCGAGATTTTTCAAACGTCTAATTTTCTGCATAAATGTCATTCAGTTGTGATCCATAGTTGCTGTATTTTAAGTATAATTGTTATATTGTATGGTAGTTTTGGTTATTGATTAAATGTACAAAATAGATGTAACAAGTGAAACATAAGAGAATTGGGAACACCAATTGGCGAAGTCGTATATTGTTTCTCGATGATGGTTCGGTTTCTCTGGAATTCAACGGGTTTCCGTAACGAAATACTAAAATATGTAGATACTGAAAATACACTGAAAGAGGTACAACTATAAGAATCAAAAATATTTGTTTGTACAATGATGTGTGTTAAGATGACTGGCCCGATCACTTTTAAAAATACGAACATTTGCGTTCCTAACCGAAAGTCTAGAATCTCATAAAAGAGATATTTTCGAACGTACGACAATCTTTTTTTCATCCTCAAATTGAGTAGAAATGAGTTTCGCGAATTTGTCTGTAAAAAAAGTGCACGTAACGGAGCTTGATTTCTTCGTTTCTCGTTTACTCTGTCCAATTACTCAAGATTAATTGATAAGCCTGAACACTTGGCGACGTACCGTGACGAGGCAAATACTTCCAAGCGTACACAGGCTTTATTGTTCTTCCGATAACTATAATATCCTGCATTGTAAAGAAACTTGTTCCTATAAGATGATTCCGACGAACCGATTGTTCCTTTCAGTGCTCAGTTGTTCTCTCAAGGCTACTTCCCTCGTTTTAAGATCACATCAGATGCACCTCAGTCTTGCAAACAACCACAAAAGGAACAAACAGAATCTCAGTTCAACTGTACATTTGAAGTAAAGATGACTACATAGACTACGGATTTAATGCACTTATGACAGACACATGCGTACAAAACGCAATTAAATAGAAATTCAGAGGAAAATGAATAAAACAGTTCAGTATATTTCCCACTCGATTAAGCCTTTCACTAGAGAACCACCAGTAATATTGGAAAATTGAAAAAGATCTTAAGACCATTTTAGGGTCCAAGTATCCTTGTGAAATCAACTGTGTCTGATCCGACCACGAAAAAAGAAAACCAATCCAAACATGCGGCCCAGTGTTCCATCCATGAGAAGCGTTATCTATTAGAGAACACACGGAACACGTTAACGTCTAGGCAACCAAAAAATTCTAATCTCATCGCGGCGCAGCTCGCGGCCACTACAAACGCACCGCCGCGTGCAGAGATCAGTTTCCTCGACCGCTGAGCCCTGCCACCTAGATTCTTGGCAACAAGGGGTGAGAAAAACGTCTTTGTTCGTGGATTTCCTCGGTTTCGGTGGCGGCGAGCTCCGCATTCTTCCGACAACAGGGGTCTTACAACTAATCGGTGACGACTTACTTAAAAGAAAGAAAAAAAAAGGTGTAACGAAAAAAAAAAAACGAAACGTCTCTGAACATTTTTAAGTCGCGCACCGGCATTTAGGTGGTGCATATATCCTTGGGGGCAAGAAGTCTATTTGATATTTATATTTTAATATACACGGGCCGATTATATTTAGTGTATTGTAATTATCGAATATTAACTGATATAGCCCCGGATTCCGCTCGTCCAGCGACGCGTCGACGACTGTACGTAATGGCGGTCGGGGTGATTCGGATGTGGGAAGAGAGAAAAAGAATGAGATTAAGCGTGGACGGTTGCTCGATGGACCAGCGGAACGACCGGCGTTAAGAACCACGATTTTCTGTATATTACTGTAGTATAATAATCAAACACTAAAGACTAATGCTTAAGGTGATCGATGGGAGGGCTTCGGATGCTGTTTCCGAAGCCGCGTATAAATGTATTTGAGATATTACGATATATTGCAAACCTGAAAAATCGAATACGAGGGAGGTAGAAAAAAAAAGTGAGGAAAAGTACGAATGCGAAAAATAAGTAAACAAAAAAAGAAACGAACGTTTTTGGTACGGTGCGACAGGGAAGGGAGAGAGAGAGAGAGAGAGAGAGAAAGAGAGGTACACGCAGCGGTACAGGCGTCTCACTGTGTTTTAAATGGTTAATAAATGCAAATGTCCGTGTTACTCGGCCGGACACTTTTTTGAAATGAGTTCGCTGTGTTTACGGCCTCCATTCTTTTATCATACGTTCTCCTTCATCTCGTTTCACGCGCATGCAACACCGGCGCGGTCCCATTTCCAAGGACAATGCATGTATCCTACGTCCGATCAACGTCTGATTAACGTCTGATTAATATTCGATGACGTCCGTTCAACGTCAGATGAACGTGAGATGAACGTCTATCGCGTAACTTACTTTATACTTCACGATTTCTCGTTTCATCGGACCTGAAATATACATGAACACGCTTTGTTCCCTGCGCGTGAAATATTGTCACTGTTCAGTGTTTCTCAATCGAATCATTACAGCAGCGGTTCCCAACCTAGGATACGCGTGCTTTGCGTTTTAGGGGTAAAAATGACTTATTTTCTAAGATTAGGAGGTACGATTTAAGAAAATTGACTGCTTAATGGTACGGGGAAAAAATTGAAATAACAGCAACTATATAAATTATAACCTATTTTCTAATATTAGGGGGTACAATTTAGGAAAATTGGCTGCTAATTGGTACGCAAGTCAAAGAAAGTTGGGAACCGCTGGATTACAGGATCGTACCGCCATGCTTCGTGTTGCATGCGGTATTTGAATAGACAGGCGTTTCCCGCGCCGCGTTCTCGATATCCGTTACGTTCGGTGTATAAAGATTCGTAAAACTTTCGCTAGATTTTTCGACACGCAGCGTTTAAAAAGCTCACGTATTTCAGGCCCAAGTATTTCTTCTACTATCCCATAGGTTTCTTCGAAAGCTAGTAATCCCTTTCCAGATTCATTTATCAATTGAGATTCCGTCATTTGTACGCGGTGTACGATCTCTGACACTGATTTCGAAGAGCGTCGGTCTATCGAAGGCACCTTCCATCTTCCTCCTTCATTCTTCAGTTTCTGTCGCAGTTCATTCTCACAACGACGATGTATCCGGACGTGTAACAGCAGTAAACTGTACAGCAGTAATATTTCAGTTAACGTCATTTATTTTTTGTTTCGCAAATATAGTATAAATATTAATTCTATTTGCACGAAGACGGAGAATTCGCCGAACAATTAGACAACGTCCAAATTCAAATTGACAGAAGACAATCGTTGTGTCGGCTGTACTGAGCTTAACTCAAGTGGATTCACCACTGGGGGGTTGTAGGTCTTGGATGGCATATGAAAGAAGTATCGCATGAATCCTACTGCCAAAAGGATATGCAGTCCAAGAATTATCGCTAAGTATACCACCCTGTATCTTCCTAAAAGTTGATCAATTGACTTTTTTAGGATTTCTATGGACAATTGTAATAACATACAAAGGACAAGCATATCCATAGTTTACCTGCTACTACAGGCAACAAAGATCCTACTAGAACTCCACCAGACAAGAAGGTTGCTAATACCACTAAACTCCACTGTAACCACCCAATTTGTATTGTCCACAGAAAGGCTACTGGAACATAGATGGCTAAAGAGTAACCATAAAGACAGAGGAGTTCCAAGAGGCCAGGTGTTGCATAAGACTAAAACAAAATCATTCTCTCTTAGATAAATCATTATACAATGTCCTTTGGAAAATACATGGAACTGCATTGAACCTCAATTAATTCTTCTTCCGTATTTCTCGTGCTAGTAGTCCATTTCAATGCACCCCACAATGCAACTGGTAGCAACCATGCGTACAAAAATATGCAAGTAGCTGCATGAGACACAATATGAAATTCATACTTCCAATGATAGTTGCTTGAATTTGCTGTTTGCAAATAGTTAGCTAAATTTCCGCTAACAGCTATAGAGAATACCAAGGTAATGCAAATCCAGAATGGACCGTAAAGATCTGGGTTGGGTCTTATGTGGGATATTAAGTAGTTGTCGCTACTATGTGGAATTATAGACCGTTTAATCCTCTCCACAACATCATCTGTGTTCACATTAAAGAACTTTTGATAATATTCAATCGTCCAAAAGTTACGAGATGATGTGGCTGGAACAGGAAAAGAAATATGGTTCAAGAAGTGTGTATAGACAGCTAATACTTTGATATACTGTCAAGATGACAGTACTGAATAGTCAGTTCATTAGCATTAACACGAATTACTACAAAAGTGAGAACCTTCACTCTTATCAGGCATTCCTTGAAGGTCCTCAATAATGCCGATACCCGTCGGGTCATTTGATAGGTTATTAAAACCTTGATGACTAGATGTGTGGACGTTCAACTGTGCTTGACCAATAATATTGTCTCCATGGTTTATCGATGGAAAGTCTTGAAATGAGATAAACTGCGAATCGCTGGATTCCGTCTGATTCCCGTCCATAGCTACGTACTTCGTACCTGTTCTTACCTTCACAAGTCAATTTGACAAGTACTGACAACTGCCAAATGTCCACATGTACACATCGCCAAAAGTATATCTGACTTTACTATACAACGTACTCGGTGATGAACAGCCAATCGCAGTCAGCACCATCTACAATCACTTACAAGTAAACGTTTGTTAACAGGTTTACGCATTACGAAGTTATTACAGATTTTTTCTGGAATTCCCGGGCGTCAGCACTCTCATTTCCTTTCTGGAAGTATTAAATTGATCGAGACATAATTTTCGGCTGCCTGTTCACGCCTTATGTTCTTTATATGCAAGAAATAAGTACATACTTTGTATTACTCTACAAATTATACGAGGAAGCATATATGAACACCGACTAGGTATTAGTCGGTGGTACTACAGTACATGTACGTAGCGTAGTTGATCTAGGGACATTCGATTTATACGTCAATGAACGGAACCTCGTTTGGATAAAATCCATGCAGCCCAGAAGTTTTAGCACCGACTAGATATAGAATAGACCTATCATCCAATGCTTTTTTCTGTCCCACGTTCATAGGGCTACGTAGCCCTGTTACCATTTTAGTGTCAATATCCGACGTTACCGATAAAGCATGAATTCTGAGTATTATTAGCACAAATGAAGTGTTATATATTCCATTCATATTACGTGTATCTATATGATTATCAGAATAGATGTAGTTTCATAAATAGTTTATCAAATCTACATGTGGGAGAATATATACACCGCTTTCATTAACATCTACATATTTATAATTTATATGGGAGTGTGAATAGTTTCACTGCCTATTGTATACGTATTACTCACTTATATGTAAAAATATACTATTAGTCCGATATTTGAAAATATGCATGCGTTCGTTGTCACTGTTAAACTGTTGTAATAACAATGGAATAATAAAATAATTTACTCAAATGTACATCATAATACATATACATATCCATAAAAACAATATTAAACGCAATAACTTTTTTGTACGCGAAGAAAAACTAATATAGGTCCGTCGGGATTCGAACCAAAGACTCCTATGTAGGCGGCGAAGGTGGTTTATTCTCAAAGATGGCGTACCTTCAAATTTGCTGGCAGCATGGACCTAATACTTAGGTCCAAGGTCTTCACCTCTTTAAAAAGAAATACCAACACCTTCGAAAGCTGTCTACCTCTTTCTAAAGTTGTGTCGTCCGGGTCCTCCGTTTCAGATTGATGCGCAGTCTATATGTCTATGCTATGACATTTACGAACACAATATTTTTGTATGTACAGCAAGTTGTTATAGCAAGCTTTAACAAAAATAATTTTCTGTTAGAATTAATGTATCTATATATTCTTTTTTTATCTAAACAAGATTCGCTATATGTGTAAAAAAAAAGACAATGTTTTTATCGACAGTTATTGATGCTCTGGTAATCTCTCCGAAATCAAGTACACAGGAGTGAATAGGTCAGCTTCTTTGACAGTTGAAACGAGACTTACCGGACCGCTTTTTAAGCAGAACTTTATACCGAGTCAGTATTTTTATCAAACAGTATATTTACAATGTATTTGAATCTGTAAAATCAAGAATCTTATTATAAAGGTAAAAAATTTTATTCGAGATGTTTTTAGATCAAGTATGCTTGTTTTTCACGAAAGTATGAGCGTATTAACGACTTCGTGTTTGCACTTCGATAAAATGAAAAATTATTGATGAGTACGTTACGATTAGAAGTCTTGTTTTTACTGTAGTAAACATGTATATTACTTTTTTGGATAGGTTAGGTAGTCCTGAAGGTGTGCCTATATCGAGTTTTGGAATGATGTTACAACAATCTTCCAAACTATTGAGGCTTCTTCACAATATTAGTCGCTACAATAACGACTGTCTGTATATTTTTCAAGTAGGATATGTGAGGAGATGTGCCAGTACTTTGATAACGTGTAATCATAACACAAGATACAAGTTACACATTGTAACCAATTCTCTTGGTTCAAACAAAGTAGGACATCCAGAGGAATGGAGATGGGTACTTGTTTCAATGTCCAGATCAATTTCTGTTCTCGCGAAAACTCAGAAAGAAGAGTCTGGAAACCTGGGTAAGCAGGATCAGGAACCACAGCAGACGATAATAGAGTTGAAGGAAGAGAATTTGGGGCAATTGAAGGAAAGAAAACTAGATGTCAAACCTGTTTCTGCCATTGATAGCCAAACTCAGAAAGAAAAACCACAAGATATTCCAGTGGAAGTTACAGAAGTTGCTGCAACAAAAAAAGGTTTTGATCTTTTGTATTAATTTTGTAGTGTCCTTGATACTTATTGATTATTTTGCTTTAAAATGTTCATTGTACAGAAATGTCTCTTCTTTTTAGCCAAAAAGAAAAAGGTCGACAGAGGCACTTCCTCGCTTGAACGTAATTTCATTACACCAGTCAGAGCTATGTCAGATTTTTTACTCAAGCCCTCTGATCTTGAAGATCTACCAAAAACCAAAAGAAGATCACCTTATGAGTTTGAACTACCGATCACTGTTTATTGGAGAAAAGATGTTGAAGCTAAGTAAGACAAAATACATTTGAATAAAACTAGTTTGAATATCTTACGATACTGTGCAATTATATTATGTTTCCTTTTAGAGCCCTGGAAGTTTGGGGATCGCGAGAAGCCCTATCAAAGGAACTTCTTAAGAAAGAGCTTGAGCAAAAAGCCTATCAGCAAAGTGAGGATTACATGATTTTATACAGTATCTATAATTGAATGTAATATCCACAATATTCTGTTATGTGTTTTTATCAAAACGTTCCAAGTGGAAGTTTGATTATCTTCATTGTTGAAAGGTCTTTCCCCATCTTTCAGGGATCATTTTCATGTATTTTTTAATATTGATAAATTAATTAGTATAAACATTCCTACCTACTTTTCATCTTAGACGTATTTACTGTGAAAAGAAGACTGAGAGATTATAGGCGAGAAATGGGTAGCAAGGCTGAATTCGTCCAAGACCAGGAAGGTCTTTTCGGAAGATCCGGCAAAGTCGTTTTGACTGCAATTGCGATGTAAGTTTCGCTTCTCGACCTTATTCGATGAAACCTACCTACTTGAACAATGAGTCATGTTCTTCTTTAGAAATGCGAGTAACTTTATATGTAAGCTATGTGCTTGGGTATTCACTGGTTCGCATAGTATGTTTGCAGAGTGTGTGCACTCTGCTGCAGACACTTGTAATCAATTAATATTAGCATATGGAATTCATAAATCAGTACAGGTAAGCATAATATATAGTATAATATACATATACATATATGTTGATAAATGTTTTTGTTGTTCAGATTTACATAAAATATTTCAGAATCCTAATCCTGACCACCCATACGGTTACACAAACATGAAATACGTTTCCTCCTTGATATCCGGTGTTGGGATCTTTTGCGTTGGAGCTGGCCTGTCAATTTATCATGGAATTCACGGCCTTTGTAATCCTTCGCCGGTAGAACCATTCTACTGGGCATACTGTGTGTTAGGTGGTTCTTTAGTATCTGAGGGGGCAACACTGTTGGTTGCAATTCAGTCAATAAGGAAAGGGGCGGAAGAGAAGCAAAGAACGTTTAAGGAATACGTACTAGCAGGACAAGATCCGTCCGTAAATGTTGTGCTCCTGGAAGACTTTGCATCCGTAAGTACTGAATAATTTTTGTAACAGATTATTAGAGTACTCACGTACTGAATTTATTCTAAACGTTTTTTTTTTGGTAGGTCGTTGGTATTACTACCGCGACCATCTGCATGAGTCTAACTTCGTATACCGGAAATTCGATGTTCGATGCCACTGGATCCATTTTGGGCGGCTTTCTTCTCGGCGGTGTAGCATCCTTTATAATTCACACGAATACCGCTGCCCTAATAGGAAGAAGCATATCTCAAGATGACCTTGATAAGATCAATGCAGAATTAGAGTCGGACATAATGGTAATGCTTCTTTGTCCTTATTATTATGACCTTGAAAGCTTGTATTTCTGTTTATTAATTGATCACGTATTAGGTTCGAGCAATTTACGATGTTAAGGGTATCGATATGGGTAATAATTTAATTCGATACAAGGCCGAAATTGATTTCGACGGAAGGGAATTGACAAGATCGTACCTGGATAAAAATGATCTAGCCGCGATGTTGAAGGTACGAATGCTTCGGTGTAATTATCATAAATTGACATATTATAATAGGTCATATTTCAAATTGTTTCGCTTTCAGGAAGTAAAAAGTATGGAAAACATCGATGAATTGGAGACATTTATGTTGAAGCACGGTGAATGCATCGTTGATATGGTTGGCGGTGAGATAGATAGAATGGAGCTCAAACTAAAGGTACTCCAGAAATGTTTTTTTTCCTTCACATCTTTATTATTAACATTTATTATCATTTTTTCTATGACACTTTCAGAAAAAACAGCCAGATATTCGACATTGCGATCTAGAGATCTTATAAACTTACTTCAGGGTAAGGGTATACAAAACCGTATATGGTATATATTTTGATGTAAATACTGTGTAATAATAATCATGACGCATTATGCATCATTTTAATAATGTTATTTATATAGAAATAATAAACGTGTCCTCAATTACGAAGAAAGAGAGAAATAAAGTAAATTAATGCGAATTTCGTGTTTTATAATTTATCATCGTTACATAATATCCTTAATGTGATCATAAATCTTACTTTGGTCCCAGCAGTTGGACAGTTCTCTGTTAATAATTAACAACAGCTACTGTACTCATAAAGAAGATGCAACTTCCAGACTCTTTATTCGGACATCCATTAATTTCAGTTACTCTATGATGAAAGTACCCTTTTAATACATGTCTAAGCGATAAAGCGACTGTGAAATTTAAGAGGTGTCCATCTGCAATTGGACACTGTCCTGTTGTCGTCAGGTTGCCATGAATTATCGATTCTTTCTGGACGCAACCGTAGACTGAACCCACATTGGATCATAGAGAACAACAAACCGTTACCATGGACACTTCCTGCTATTTACGACGGAAGTGGCACGAGTAGCGTCTCTTGGTTCGTCGCGTTTTTCGAGAGAAGCGTCAGACATGATCTGGTCTAATTACGGTGTCGGGAGGATCGAACGTTTTTACGCGATCGAGGAAACAATCAGATGAGTCGACCGAGTGAGAAACTTTCACGACGATGGAGTACCATGAACGTTCCTCGGAGAAGGGATGCAAGCTTCTCCGAGGAGTCGTCATCCTCGACCAGTGAGAGCACTGAACAGCCGTCTTACACGAAGAACACTAGCACACCTTTGCGAAACAGGTGGTCGGACGCGAAAGGAATCAACAGGTCCTCGCGGAATCAACGAGATGAGAGCGAAGACTCGGAAGGGGAGACCGACGAGAAGGAAGTGGAAAGATCAAGAGGGCATAAAAAAGCTACGCGTGATGTTCGAGGAAAGCGACAAGATGATCGTGAAAGAATCGCTCGGAGACAGAAGGCAAGACACGTTCCTCGGGGAGGACGAAAACGCGAAAGAGGTTATGAGGGGTCAGAAAATGATAATCGGATGGCGTCGGGTTCTTCCAGCAAACGCTATGAGGAAGGGGATACTGATCGCTCGAAACGGAGACATGAAGGTACATCGATTACACCATAGCAATTCTTAAAAGAATAATCAACTGATAGGTAGTTTTGTAAATGCAAATTTTTACATTTCATTTACAATTGATACATTTTTTTACCCTGCTCTAAAAACACGTATAACATGCGTGTAGAAATATGCATCATAAAAACGATAATACTAATAATAACAGTGATGACAACATCCGTATAGGAAATTTGCAATTATGTTTCACGAAAACTCTGTGACAAAAATCGTGATTTTGCTATACAGGGGAGAACGAACTGCCGATTACCGAGATCTTGAAGAGAAGCCAAGAGAATGCGCGTACGAAATACGAGGGTCAGTCACCTCTTTCGGAACTGACCACAGATAAAATCTATGTTCAGCACCGAGACGGTTTCAGCGCTATGAAAATTAACAGATCAAAGAGTTCTCAGTTCTCGGGACAGAAATCAGAAATGGCGGGAGGCAATGGCTTCGTTGAGAACCGAGATTCTCCGCCCATAAAGGTGGCCATCACGATTCAATGGTTTTGGAAAACTACAGGCCTCGTGTTTCAGGGTATTTTAGGTGGCATGGCCCTCATGCATTTTATAATGGCAAGTCTCTGTCACGTAAAACCGCTCCAGTGTCTTCGATATTATTACTAAACATTTCTTTAAATTCTACTGCAGTTGCAAGTATTTTTCAATCCGTCCTTGGAATTCATCGAAGACCACTCGACGATTTGTGAAATTTACACGAACATCTTTTCCTTCCTCATAACTCTGTGCGTCGTGTCGACTCTCGATAAGTACGATACGCAATTTTAAACCTTGAAACAATTTAACATTCGTTAAAACCTTTTCTGTCACTTAATTCAGGTTCGATTTCGCTCGATTCGACGTGGATCACCTGCGCGAGATCTACCTCGACCACAATATAGCTGTAATCGCAATTCCGTTATACTTGGTCGTGTTCTGCCTTCATCAAGTCTGTTCCAAGGTTGACAGTCAGTTGGGGTTGGTGCACTATTACAGTTCAAATTACAGCTTGTGGGAAAACGTAAGTGAAATGTTTACAGTTTCAAAATGTGTAGGAGAAAAAGAAATCGGTCGATCGCGTAATGAGATGTCAATGATTCTTTTTCTTTTGATTCATATAACGTAAACAAAGCTAACTTTCACGCTCCACCGTTTACAAATGAAGTGTTCAATTGTTTTCCGCATTTTTTATTTTAGGCTACTGATGTCCAGACCCTTCTAGTCGATTTAAACAACTGGCAGAGGATGTCGCTATCAAAAGACGTTCTCGCGGTTGTTGCCTGGTTGTTTGTTTCTCTGGGTACCAAGGACGATTCATTTCTGATACATCTGCAGTCCATGCAAAAGTTCACGAGCAACGCCGAGTCCCCAAGACAATAAATCTATATTTAATACGTTAACTACTGTTCTTTTCACATTTAGCAATTCAAGACGACTGTGAAATTGTTGCCTTTGTTATCGAAAATTTAGGTAGCCCATTTATATCTATGTGTTTTCTGCAAACAAGAAAAAGTGGAGAACGTTAGCATGCATTGCAAGTTTAATGAAATATGACTCACCTGAAGTGAAGGTAACATCTCGGTGTGTACGTGTGCCGGATCAACGTATTAACAATTCCGTTTGTACTGTATCCAGGTCAGGAAATATGTCGCGTATGATTTCAGTTTTTATTCGTAACAGAATAGGGTCTGATATGTACAATATTTATAAAGTTCTTCTAAATTCTAACAGATAATACACGTACATGTAATACCAATGAAGACAATAACATTAAGAATAAAATATAACATATGGCGCGATCGTACAATAGTAAAATATGTCCTTAGACTTTGTCTCGAGCACGGCGCGAAGCTGAATCGACAATTGCGCGTAATCACATTTTGGCAACGTCAAATGCGTTGGACATAAAGACACTGTTCCTTCGTTTCTTGGTTTTAAAAGGATAGAAAATTTCACTCGAAACCTTAACACTTGCTGTCGCCTATGGGTTTTTCTTCAACCCCGTTATGTTCTCAAGTCTTCAAGAATTTCTTTCTTTTTGGAAAAAAACTATCAGAAAACCTTGTAAAAGTTATCGTTCCCGAGGATTATTTTATAAAAACCAGAACTAAACAAACAGTTATTTTCACTATTTAACCCTCGGAAAGTGGACGTTTTTGATAATCGAATAAACGGCGGTACCTGGGTCCAGAATGGAACTTTTTAAAAATATGCTGGTCTGTATTGTGTGGTTCCGAAATGGACCCAGACACCACCGTACGAGGCTGAAGGAATGTATTACATCGATAATAAAGTAGAAATGTCATTCCCTTCAACTTCACGAAGCTTTTGCTTCGTTGTGTTTTATACCATTTCGTATGACGCAAAATGTATAAAATCCGAATTTTTGCATACAAATAACGATCGCCCGTCGCAATCGTCGAGGCAACGCGTCGCTGGCTCTCGTTGCACGACAAACTCGTCATAAATAATGTGCGAAGGCTCGTGTTAACCTGCGAAGCAACAGATAAATATATAAATACTGTACGTACATTTACAACGCTAGACGTATCGTTCTCCGCGCGGATTTACATCGCCCATAATTTAAAATATCTCTGGACCTTAACAACGCTATTAATTTCATCAAGGCACTGTTTACAGTTCTGTCCGAAGTCAACGACCGAAATTCGAATCGTCCCCTCGTCCACGGACTCTGTCGATAATCCGTTCTCCGGGCGAACGATCCGTAAGATTGGCTCCAGCCTTATCGAATAAATTAGGACGAAAACCAAAGGCCTTGGGAACGAGCGAATTGGAGAACGTGGACTAGGGGAAGATTATTTTACGTCGTTATTCGATCGATTTTTTTCTTTTTCTTCTCGTGAAAAATTGGGACAATTCGGTGGTCCTTTCTTTTTTATCGACAAATGGGGATTTTATCCCCGAGGAACAGCGCCGTGGCTTGACAACGACCGTCGGTACGTCAGTCGCGATTTTACTGGCTGAGGGCTCTTCAGAGCGATCATTGGGGAAAAGATCACTTACAGGAATTGTTAGAGAGTACTTTCTGTCCACGAAGCGTCGCTTCACAGACGCGCATTGAACTAACAAATTTCTGTCCACGACGTGTAGAGAATGTTTCGCCTCAATTATGTCAATTATAAAAATATCGAGTGTAAAAGAGGACATGACTCCGGTTGCACCTTTATATTCACAGAAGCAGTAACTATGGAATGAAAAGATTTTTCTGTTACATTCTTCTTGCATACTTTCATGATCATACAGGTGCATATGCATGTTTTCCCATTGCTTGAACAAATAATGGTATTTTACTCAATTACTAATTTCAGTAATGTCGTCTTACATTGCACGCAGCATGGAAACGTGCCTGCAACCGATGTCTATGAAACGACACCACGCTTCGTGGGCTACAGACGCCTTTAGCTTGTGCGGATTCGTGACGGCAGTATACAAAGAGACAGCTTAATTTGTAACGGGGCGAAAATGATCGCCGCTAGTAAAACCGAGTGCCGTGCACTCGTCGCATGATACATTCTTCAAAAAATCACGTGACACCCACCGAGTGAGAGAACACGCGCGAAACATTTTCGATCACTGTGGTCTTTGGTCGACAGTCCCCTTGGGAGGAGTATAGCGTCGAAGTGAACACGTTCGAAAGGACCAGCCGCCGAAGACCTTTTTCTTCTAAATTCGTCATGGGTACAGTTACGAGGACAATGGCATCCCCGTGGTGGAGAATGGAGCTATCCAGATAGTCACTGGGGAGGGAAAAGAGGATCTGTCTGTTGGCAGAGACACAGCTCTTGCTCGACAATGTTCTCGCCTTTCCTGGTAAAACGGAGAAGTAGGGGCCAGAAGCACGCCCTCTGGGAGACAAATTGGAGAGGATTGGGACCACATCGTGCGTGTCTCCCATTGATTCGACGGATTTCGGTGATCCGGTTCCCCTCTTTTCAACGCGTTTACATTTCGCGAAATCCCGCGTAACGGGGACTAGGGAGCCGATTCGACGAAGGGGGAGGGAGTTCTCTGAAGACATCCGTGGTTGCGGTAGCCCAGGCGCACGCATCGCCCCCCTCCCACCTTTTCGTTCGGTCTTTGCCCCGTCGAAACCATTTATCCGTGGCTGTGGAAGGTGGAGGGGACAGGAAAGGGGAGGATATATACGTATCACGCAGTCTAGCTCTTTTGTGACGCGGAGGAAGAGTCAGAAACGAAGGAAATCCTGTACGGCGAACGACGAGCGGGGACAAGTCCCCTTTGGACGCGACGGCCGTTCCTCCTGCCCCTTCCGCGGCGACGATCAAACGGCTCCTGTGTCGTTCTGCATGTATCTGCACCACGAGCGGCCGTTGTTGTTGCTCTCGCGGACTTGAAGCAATCCTCAGTCGTCGAAGTCGTGCCTAAGCTTTATGTAGAGGCACGAGCCGAGAACGATCCCGAACAGCTCCAGCACCGACAGACCGAGACCCACCGCGCCCAGAATGATCAAGTGCTCCTTCGTTGTCTCCAGGAACTTGTAGATGCAACCCTGATAGGAAGAAAACGGGCTCTTAGTACTGGGGAACCTCGAACTTTCCAGGTTTCCATGGAGATGATTGTTGCGTTTCTTAACAGAGTGTAATGAGTAGACTGCGGATTTTATGCATTTATAGCTCATAAGGATCTGTGACATACAACAATAGACAAAACTTCCATTGGATCCAACGAGTTTTTTATTTTATTTTGAACCCAATAAGACACTTGCGAGGAAAACTAAATTCCTATATTTGTTCCTGCCTGTACAAATTACTTTGGAAAATTTCGTTTTGCATGAAAATCCGCAGGCTAGTAATGAGGTATTGTTTATATTAAATTTGTTGTAAGATGACGACCCTTGAGATGGATTTTCATCTTTGGGAATAGGCAGAAGTTACAGTGGGGAATAAGAGGGCTGTGGAACCACTGGAATATCAATATTGGTAAAACATCCACACAGTACTGGAAGTCAGTAACAGTTCCAGTTGAAGACTTCCAGTACTGTTTTAATAAGTGGGAACAACCTCTCCAGCGGTTTGCGATTTCCCAAGGGAACTATCTTGAAGGGAATAATGTTGATTTGTAGATAAGTTGACAGTACAAATTTCTACGCCATTAGTCCTGCTACATTTCTGACAGGCTTCGTTTATGGTATTTTATTATATACCACCTAGTGCATTCCCATCTAGCAAGGGAACTTTGGTACCCGGCATGTTCTGATATTTTTTTAAACTCTGCGGGTTTGTAGGGGACCTCAATAGAGGCATCGGACAATTTTTCATTTTTGCTGGTATTCAAGTTTTCAGCTAGAACCCACCTCTTAAATGTTAACATGTGTTTTTCTATTTCCCTGTATATCTTGAAAACCGTATTAGATATAAAAAAAACTGCTACAACAAAAATTTAATGGTTTCTCATGCTCTATAAAAGGGTGTAATGAAATTGCCAAAAAAATGTTTGTATATTCATTTCTTTATTTAAATAACAAATTTCTAACAATTTAATTGCACACAATTCATAGACCCTAAAAAGCCACTAAATTTTCATCGTAACAGTTTTGTTATATCTACTATAGTTTTCAAGATATACAGGAAAACAGGAAAACCCCTATTAACCTTTAAGGGATGGTTCCACCCCTAAGAACCGAATACCACCAACAACGATGAATTGCCCGATGCCTCTATCGAGGTCACCTACAAACCCGTGGAGTTTAAATAAAATCAGAATTTCCGAGGTACCTAAGTTCCCTCTCAAGATCATACAACCCTGAAGAGTACGCGTTTCCAAAGCAAAACCACTTTTCATGCATAACTGGATAGACAGACATCCTCGAGAAGACTGTTCACGTGTACATTGATGTCTCCCTTTTCATCGGAACTTATCGACAAACGTCAGCTAAACAACGTTACCAACGGGTGAACCTGTACGTTAGGTTTTATCGCACGTTGGCTCGCATGCTCAAGTTGAATATTTCGAGCGCTTCTTCGATTAATGGAACCCCCTATCTCGAGTATCGACGATCCATTTTTTTCCATTCGCCCCCCCCCCCCATCGATCCCCACCGATGGTTTCGCGGCAATGAAATCAAGAGGTTTTTCGGATAACGAGCTACTTTTTCTCGAGCCTCACTCGTTCCTCGAGTTTACGGTCGCCATTGAATCGAGAGAGCCCCCGTGGCTCGTTACAGCCGTGGGTCCTCGAGGAATTAAATTGGAACAAATAAACGAGCGGGATAACCGGTAAAGGAAACAGATCGATAAATACCGTGTAATGGATGTTCGACGGGTGATCCCTCCTTCCGCAGAGGTGGGTCGGTGTCTTGCAACAGCTATCGGGAACGACGCTGCCATCCTTAAGGACATCCTCGTCCTTGTGCCACTCGCTCACCAGCCAGTCCTCGAATCTCAGGGCTCCGCAGCATTTGAACTGAAAAAATTTAACGAACCGATCTCTCGATTTATTCCAATTCTGTTTACAATATCCTACCCTCGAGTTCGATTGGGAAATTGTGAACGTGACGGTTGTCGAAAGGTATTAAGGTATTTTGAAAATTGTGCCAATAGAGAATAGAATTCCTGATGGTTCTAATTCGTTTACGCGGAGCATCCCACGATGAATGCTGTTTGATGCAACTACTGAACGGTAGGTGATAGGGCAAAAATATAAGGAGACTTTTGTTGAAATTTTATTATGTAAAATGTCACTGGGAAACCAAATTTTTTACATTCAAGTTTTCGATGTCACAGTAAGGTTGTTTTGTATTTTTGTTTAAATGGAATGCTATATTTTTGTTGAGGTAATTTTCAAAATGTACGCTGTACTTGCTTTCTTTCTGTACTTTCATAACAGCAAAAGAAAAATATAGAATTCTATTTAAAAGCACGGGATAACCTTAGTATGACCTTGAACAATTTAAGGTAAATTTTTTCAACGGTCATATTCTGTGGACAATATGATGATGAAAGTATCTTTAAATGGGACACCTTGATAAAATTGAAAGTAAACCAAGATAAAATTCACTGTACGTAAAACGGCAGATTTCGTTATGAAAGTAATATTTTTGAAAAAATATTAATGGCATAGTACGATATATTCTATTACGAGACCATGAGAATAATTTGTATTAGGAAAGAAACATGGTGGGGAAAAGAATATTTTCTTAGATATTGCGTATACCCAACGTTGGGAAGAAATTGGTTAAATGATCGGGTATCATAAACATATATTTTGCACAGATGGATCACTACAATTCACTTTGCTTCCATAAACTGTAATTTTCACATCGATATAAAGATACCTGCAGAAATTCTATATACTTTTCAATTACGTAAATTATAGATTTGGATGAACATAAACCACGTATAAAATATCAGAGGTATGTATCCTTTCGGCCATTTTTACACAAAATGATAGACTGTCAAAACTGTTAAAATGCACAAATTGTAGAGTGTAATATTCGTACCAAAATAATTACTTAACACAATGTTTCCATTCGCCTATTTTTATATAAAATGATAAACTGTGAAAACTCGTAAAATGTACATCGTAGAGGGTAATAATCGTACCAAAATAATTACTTAAACACAATGTTTCCATTCGCCCAAAGGAAGAAAAAGAAACTAAACTCTCGAACAGTGTGGATTCACGGCGAACGTAAGAAAATTCTGACAGGAAATAAATTGTAGTACGATGATGCAACACATGCATCAAGAACGAAGAACAGAAGAGATCATAGAACCGGAACACCAGTTCCACGATACATTGTATGTCCATGGTTTTTAACCTTCCTAGTTCGCTTTTTCTACATAAGGCAGGACTTGGAAATGCATTGGTAATATATAGGGTGGACAAAAACAGAGAGAAAATTTTAAATCGGAATACCTTTTCATATAGCACAAATTCAAAAAAATTAAGAGTTAAATATTTATTTACTGATAAAAGGAAATTCATTTGTCATATTTTCAAAATAACGACCTTCAAAACAATAAAACAATAACTTCAAAAACAAATAAATATGTGCAAATACTAATAAATAATTATCAATTTCGAAAATGAACTGTTATTTTACAGGAGATATTGCAGTATAATGCCACTGTGGCTGCAAGTTACGCTAAGCAACGCATCGGCGACTGCATCAAAGACAGCAGCCACGGTGGCTTCACGAATAAGCCAGAAGAAGCCCTTGCCCCCCTCCCCAGAGGGAAAAAAGTGGCCTTTTCCTTATTCTAGAGGAGAGAAAATTGGATCTCTATCCTCCACCTAGAGAATAAAAATAATAATATGAAATTTTTCTTAAGATAAATTTTGTCACCCCCCACCCCCCGACTGATAAGTTGACCCATAGGTGACTTCACGCGTTGTACTGCAATATTTCCTTTTAAATTAATTTTCAAAATTGCGAATTATTCATTATTATTCTCAATTATTATTTTTACATTTATTACACGGTTACGACACACCATAGACACAGAACGTCACTATTTTGAAACACGATAAGTTAACTTCCTTTTGCAAGCGAATACATTATTTGGTTTTCCATTTTGTCGAATTTTAGGTATACAAACATCTTTCGATCTAAAGTGTTCCCACCATTTTTGTCCGCCCTGTACCGTGCACCAAGTTCAGGGGAGGGGGAGGGGTTTGCTCCGTTTGGCCGTTACAACTGGGGAATAATGTATCCACGAGAGCGCATCTCGAGAAGTAGCATCGGAGTGTGTTTCGACGTTGTGTGCACCGTCGAGGAGGCGTCCTCTCGACGATGATTTGCTTCCCGCGGTGTACTCGCGGCTCGGCGGCGCGGTGGCCGTAGTCGGCATAAAGAAAAATGGTTAGGCGATATCAAGCCAGCCCGCAGCTATTTCGCGCGGAGCGGAATTTAACGACGTCCTCTCCTTACCTCGACGCTCGAAAGATACCGTGGAAAATAAGAAAAGGGGGAAAAGAGAACTGGGGAGCATTCGATAAGCACGAATCGCGAGCATATGTCTTCTGAAACTGTTTCGTTCGAGCGAATTCTGTACCGAGCACTTACGAAGATTGATCAGGTTTTCAAGACCGTGGAGGATGACAGCTTCGACTCTTCAGGTGCTGTGATATCAGGTATAGACTGTGAATATAGACACTGTTGGGTTGAGGTTCAGAAATACAGTGGACTTTTCATATATGTAGGAGAATAATATTGTCGGAAGTGGCTATATATCGAGAGCCCCCTCCATGATAAGTTCTGTTGCAGACCCGACCCCAGCGCAAGAGCTTAATTGTACTGGTGGGGATGGTATACGCAACGTGGTGGGAGTAAGAATTTTGTGCGTGAAAGTACGTGTGGAAGGGAAGTGTCCCGCACGGCAATATACGAAGAGTCTACTGTACTCTGAAAGTTAGGGAATGTAGGGGCAAGATCGTTGAATAATCGAACTTTTTTGTAGTTAGTCGAGTTAATTTATGTTGCTCACGATAAAGTGGGCATAATAATGTACAATAATTGTAAACAATCTGAAGGATGTGGAGAATCTGGAGAACGCGAAGAATGTAAATAATGCGAAATATAGTACTATATATACCATGCGAAGGATGTGAAGTTTGTGGAAGTTATGAAGAATGAGAAAAATGTGAAGAATGTCAAGAATGTACAGCATGTGTAACATGTCAAGGATTTTAAAAATGTAAAGATTGTGAAGAATGTAAAGAATGTGAAGAATGTGAAGAACGTGAAAAACGTAAACTCCCGTAAAAAATCTAAATTCCGTCTAATTTTCAATCCGAATACATAATCATTTAAAAGTGCGACGGTGTATAACCATCTGTAGGGTACAACCATCGTAAGCTAGCTTTAGTTTTGGATCACTCCGTGCTCAAAGGGTCAAGAGACTGTAGACGAGAAGCGTACGTGACTCGTAAACGGCGAAACAGTAGCGGTTTCCCGGCTCTTCACGACTAACTGCTCTCTTCCCTCCTCAAACTTTCGAACAAGCAATCCTTCTTCCGGTCGACTCGCGGACCATTCTGTCATTCCGAGGTTGTACTCACCTCTATCTGCATCTGGTCGATCGCGGCTGTTTCCCTGCTCCACACGGAGTAGTTGTCGAGGAAGGTGCGATTAAGATTCATCTTCAATTCAGGGCCGACTTGCTCCTCGTAGAGTCGCGCCAACGCTCCGACGCCCGCCTCAAGCACGAACACCAGCATCACCATGAACACGTACTGCGACGAAAAATGAATGCACAATTATAGTTTGTAATCGGGGGAAAAACTCACGGAAAATATTCGATCGAATGGAGTCAGGCATGATCGCTACAAGAACTATTTTTACACGTATGAGAAATGTAAAATACAGTGATTCCTCGATGACTGCGAGACCAGAAATGGCGTTAGTGCTGACGATATTTGTAAAATCCTAGTTCGGACGATAGCCACAAGTCTAGAGATTAAGAATATCTTTGAATTTTGTGTTTCAGATGACTACAACGTCTGATATCAATTCTGCCACCCGGAGAGATATTTTTTAAGGCGGTCTCTTCACGGTGGTCTTATTTCAAGACAAATGGATATTTTTCCTCATAAAAAATATTTTTATATTCCCAAAAGATGGTCGAATAAATCTAAAAACTTGCAGAAGGATAAATATGTAATACTTGTACCTTTTTTAAATTCTCAAAAATGTAAGTTTTTTTAGCCGCCACACTATGGAGACCCCTTAAATGGCACCATTAAATGGCACTATTCACTAAAAAATTTCTCGTCAGATGATTCAAGAATATTCCTGAACGAACGAAGAAATGGAAAGCAAAACAGTCGTGAGCTGAAACCGCTCGCGGAATTCCCCGCGATTCTCAAGGAAATCTTTGTTTGACGTGTATCGCGTGCCGCGTCGATGATCAACGGGCAAAGTGTTCAGGAATAATCAGGAAGTTGTTCGGGCGCGTTAAAGCCGCAAAACGCCACGCGAAGCGTTTTAGAATTTTCATGAATTTAAATCCGGAGCGCGTCGGCAAGCTTGCCCGCATGAATATTCAAACCGCGAGGGTTGGGTAGATCTGATCGTTCCGACGAAAACTTTCCCAGGGTGGTGAAGAAGAAGAGGATTTTCGAAGAGATCTTGTTTAGCCTTATTTGGTAGTTGGATGAAGAATAACGTCACTGACGTATCTATAGTATAGTTAAACTTTTAACCCTTTGACGAACATATCTGATAGACCGACTTTGAAAAAAAGGAGATATACGATTTGATGGGTATCTATGCTTTTTATATGTACAGCGAGTCACAGAAGTATTTGTATCTTCGCAATTCTTGAATTTGAATGATTAATATTTTTTAACAATATGCATTCTGAAACGTTTGTCCATAAGGATATATTGTGCAATAACTAAGCTTTCGAGTGATGTAACATTAATTGAAAATACAGTGAACTCTAACTTCTATTTGACTCCAACTCTAATTGTGATTCCACAAGGATAGAGCTGGTACGACTACAAATACTTTTGTGCGCTTCATTTATATTACTAGGAATTGTTATTTTTCAATAAACGACGCATCATCCGAAAGCTTATTGTTATTGCAGAATATATATTCTTAAAAGAATTATTAGTTATTCGAATTCAAGAATTGCGAGGGTACGAATACTTCAGTGACTAACTGTATGTCCAGGTATTACTCTACAACAGATGGACCAATTAAGATGAATCCTTTGCATCTTCTAGAGCAGGGGTTGGCAACGCCATAAATTTTTATACAAAATAACTTTATGTATTAAAACTTTATGCAATAAATTTATGTTGCATTAATATTGTCATATTTAAATACCTTATACTTTGACTGAAATATGCCCTCCTAGTGAAAAAGGTTGCCGACCCCTGTTCTAGAAGATGTTCTTGCAGTGATCCTGTTTGCAAAACTGTTTACAAAAAATGTATTTTTGTCTTTACAAGTTTGTGTTTACCTGCAGCGAATTATTTTTTTGTCTGGTTTTTCCATTGCGTTACAGTGAATTTTTATCCGTTCGGCGAGCCGACAAACACATTATTAAGAGATAATGCGACCAGGCGAAAAAGCAACGATTTCACGAGACTATGGGTCCGTTCAATTGCCGTCGAAATTACGATTCACGCGGATCAATTTAAACGCGACGCACACGCGGGGCGATATGTACATTACACTGGCCGCAGTGTCCGACCAGGAACGGCAATTGACAGTTTAGAATTGGACAGAACCGCTGACAGCGAATAGACGGTCGATCATGAACACTGACTGTGGTCGCCGCAATCACAGCCGATATCCGTGGACAATTCGAATAAATCGATTTTAACGGGCACAGATGACCATGCTGGTTGCATCGAGGACGGCGATACACATTCGAAAACGGTCCGTGTACCATTTAACCGAAGCAGCTTTTCCTATCGCAGCAATTTCCTTTATGGTCGTTAATTTCTTTATAATATTGGGTCGTCAAAAAAGTTCGTAGCGTTTTCCACTTTACAATCTATATTTTTCAATTTGTATGATAGTCTTATTTACTACTTTTTATACAATTTCTTTCCATTCTTTCAGTAATTTCATTTACCAGAATTACTTTTTGTTTCTGGGATACTAATAGTATCAAAGTAATTCTGGAGACTAGATATTAAGAAAATCGCGAGGCAAGGAGTTAACATAATTCATTTTATGAGAAGACTATATCGAGTAATTTTGCAATAAAGAAAGAATTACGTTAATAATTTTTATTTGTAAAAGTATCGCCTAATATACCTATCAGTAAAATCGATCATGTCGTGTCCAACGATCTAATACAATTATCTACATAGTATTAAAATTTTATTATTTTTTTAAACGTATTTTCATTACTTTTTATTCTGGAAATTGCAAAATGTTCAATTTCATTTGTAAAAGGATGAATTTAATTTGCAAGAGGATGAATTTCATCTGCAAAAGGGTGAATTTGATTTGCAAAAACTGTGTTATAAAATCACCATCTACCATTAAAAGTATTAATAAACAAATTTCATTAGTCTGAAACCAATCGAAATAAAGTCTTCTGAATTTCTCGTTTACCAAAGTCATAAAGAAGCTATTGCCCAAATTAACAAGAAGAAAAAACGACCTAATAGTTCCAACCGAAAAGGAAAAAATTTTCGTAATATCGTCACCAGATGTAGAAAATTCCATAAAGAACTTTCACGACGAACTTATAGTACGATAATAACAAAAGAAAGGTACGAAACTCCGTTCAAAGTTCGCCGATTGGCTGGGATCGATCGCGCGAAGGCTACCGTCGATCTGCAGCCGCAAAAGGTCTCCCCCCTTTGGTTCTTTCGGCCAACCTTTTGCCTCTCCTTTCCCATAGATATTTTGCTCCCTTTCACCACCTGCGCACGGATGGCACGAGCGGAATCGTCTCATTAGCCGTTACCGTATACGGCGGTCAATTAACATTTTTGCCCGCGGTGGCGGGTAGGTAAATCCCGAGATAATGAACACACCGCGCGGGTTCTTTAAGGAAAAAGCGCCCAGGCCACGCGTGGCTACGCGGAGAAAGTATTCGCCGTATTGGACACTGGATAGAGAGTTGTTTAGCGGCGATCGTCGACGAAGAAATTGATCTTTGACTTATTTCTTGGTCAGAAACACCATCTTTGGTCCGAAAGGTAACTTGCTCATTAACTCTTGGAAAATCAGGTGGAAGGGGTACATTATTCCTATTATGTTACTGAGTTGTTTGAAGTCCAATTTTGAAATATATTCTGTATTTTAGACTCGCGTAAATATCAATTATTCGACTTTTAATATTCTCTAGAAGTGCCTTTTCAAGTTTCTTCTATCATTCAATAAATATTCCAATATTTATACATTGGACCAGAAGTATCAATACAGAAATCGTCATGAATTCATGGATTGCCTTACCAATAACAGAGTACATTTTTCATTCATTCCACCTTCTTCATCTCCTAATGAAATGATAATTAATGAAACGATTCTAGTAACTCGAAAGTGTATCTGCAATTCCTCGATAACTAAGAACTACAAACTGTGTCGTAACTTCATTAGAGATTTAAAAGAAGAGGGATGGGGGCAGAAATCATGATCCTTCGATCAAGTGGAATCAATAATCTGATTTCGATTCACGTGGCAGGAGTAACTCGTTTTCGCTCGACTTCGCGACCCTTTCAAAACGATAGTGGACGCTGCAGATGAAATGAAACGTGACCGGATAATCGCGGAACGAGGAACCGGATTCGAGGAAACAAGAGACCCGATATTACCACTTTGCCAACCTTTCGATAAGCAGAAAAATTCATTACGTTCAATGAAAACGGGAAATCCGAACTGTTCGACTCGATCCACCGGGCCCTGTGGGTCTTTGATTCCTGCCTTATGGAATCGAACTGGTTATAATTAAGATCCTGCGTCCCGTTACATTATTATGCGAACTCTGGAAGCCTGCGGACTGGTTATTCATATTACTACTGTGCTAAGACACTTCGTGATAAGTGTTCCTCATGGTTCTTCATTGGTAGATTATAAAAACGAAAGACATACATGGTCTGTCACAAAAGATTCAGAACTGAAATCAAAACAGCGGTTTACGTAAAATCATGATACTCTTCGTCATGAAATATTAAAAATATTTTTTTTTGAGAGAGACACTAGAAGATGTTTCGAGAAACACTAGAGGATAATTTTAGAGGCTTTAGAAGATAACTCGTGAGACTATAGAGGATAATTAGAAAGGTTGTAGAGAATAATTCTAGAGCCCGTACAAGACAATTTTAGAGGCCCTAAAGAATAATTCTAGAGGCTCTAAAGTATAATTCTAGAGGCTCTAGAAAATAATGTTAGAGACTCTACAGGATAATTTTACGTTGGGACCGTACAAGAAAATTCTAGAGACACTAGATGATAATTCTAGAAGTTCTAAAGTATAATTCTAGAGGCGCCAGAGGATAATTCTGGAGGCTCTAAAGGATAATTCTAGAGGCTCTAGAAAATAATGTTAGAGACTCTACAGGATAATTTTACGTTGGGACCGTACAAGAAAATTCTAGAGACCCTAGATAATAATTCTAGAGGCTCTAAAGGATAATTCGGAAGACTGTATTGTATCATTCTATGTAGAGGCTGTACAAGAAAATTCTAGAGACACTAGATGATAATTCTAGAAGTTCTAAAGTATAATTCTAGAGGCGCTAGAGGATAATTCTAGAGGCTC